GAACTCACAACCTTGTGGTTTATGAGTAGCTGCAGTAGAGGCATTTAACCACTGTGCCACTGGGACCACAAAGGAGGACAAGGCATTGCAAAATGGAGGACATCCAAGAAAAGTTTAGGATATTATTGTAGAACACAAATGCAACATGAGTCAACAACGTGATGCGGCAGGTAAAAAAGCCAATACAATTCTAGGCTGCATCAATAGAAGTAGTGTCTAGATCAGGGGTAGGCAACCTTTTTCATCCGTGGGCCGGGTTGCTGTCCCTCAGACAATTGGGGGTCCAAAGCACCAAAAATTAATTAATTAATTAATTAAATATCTATTTTTTTAAAAAATGCATGCACACTCTCTCAGCCCCAGAAAAGCCATGGCAAAACCCCTGGAGATTTTGCCAAGAAAACCCCAAAAACAAGTAATAACAACAATAATCAATATCATCATGGTGGGTGGTGGCGGCAGGACCGGCCTGGGGCTGGTCCAAAGGCCTCGGGGGGCTGCATCCGTTCCCCAGGCCTTAGGTTGCCTACCCCTGGTCTAGATCAAGGGAAGTAATAGTGCCACTCTGTTCTGTTTTGGTCAGGTCCCACCTGGAGTACTGTGTCCAGTTCTGGGCACACAGTTCAAAAGGTATGTTGAGAAGCTGGAATGTGTCCAAAGGAGGGTGACTAAAATGGTGAAGGGTGTGGAAACCATGCCTTATGAGGACTTAGGAAGCTGGGTACATTTATCCTGGAGAAGAGGAAGTTAATAGGTGATATGATAGTCCTGTTTAAGCATTTGAAGGGGAACAAGCTTATTTGAAGGGGAACAAGCTCAATTAATATTGAGGATGGAACAAGCTTATTTTCTACTGCTCCAGAGAACTGAACCCAAAACAACGGATGCATGCTACTGGAAAAGAGATTCCACCTAAGCATTAGGATGAACTTCCTGACAGTAAGAGCTCTTCGACAATGGAACACACTCCCTCGGAAACTTGTGGAGTCTCCTTCTTTGGAGGTCTTTAAACAGTCTGGATAGCCATCTGTCCAAGGTGCTTTGATCATGAGTTCCTGCATGGCAGAATGAGGTTGGTCTGTACGGCCCTTGTGCTCTCTATGATTCTATTACAGTCAAGAAAAAAAATAAGGTTTTACCAAATAAAAGCTAAAAACACTGATATAAATTTATTGAATATAATATTAAGTGTTAAAGTTTAATAATTAAATTTAATACATAATTATTTAATAATAATAATATCATCATCATCATCATCATCAATGAATTTATATGAGTGTTTTTAGCTTTTATTTGGTACCAACCACATTGCAATATGTGGTCAGATTCTACATTTCTTTTTTTCTGGGATGCCCTCCCTTTTGTGGTGCCCTGTCCTCCTTTAGGACAGTTAGGACAGCGGATCCCCCTCACCTTCGTTTTGTTTCCCTCCTAGGAGTTGTGTTGTTTTTTAAATTCCTCTGTAGACAAGCATCCTATCACCCTATCTGTTCAACTTGTATGCAGAACATATAAGAAAAGCAGGCTTGGACACAGAAGAAGGAGGAGTGAAAATAGGAGGAAGGAATATCAACAATCTAAGGTATGCAGATGATACCATAATACTAAGAGAAAACATCGCAGACCTGGAACACCTAGTAAGGAAGATCAAAGAAGAAAGTGCTAAGGCAGGCTTAATGCTGAACGTAAAGAAAACAAAAATAATGACTACCAAGGACCTTCACAAGATCAACCTAGATAATGAAGAAATAGAAATAGTAAAAGAATTCCCATACTTGGGATCAAAGATTGATAGAAATGGGGACTGCAGTCAGGAAATCAGAAGACAACTAAGAATGGGGAGGGTGGTTATGAGTGAACTAGAACAGATTCTAAAATACAAAAATATACAACTCAACACAAAAGTTAAAATCATACAAGCCATCCTATTTCCTATTACCATGTATGGATGTGAGAGCTGGACAGTTAAAGATGATAGGAAGAAAATCTTTTGAGATGTGGTGCTGGAGAAGAGTGCTGAGGATCCCATGGACAGCCAAAAGGACAAACAAATGGGTCCTAGAGTAGATCAAGCCAGAAACCTCCCTGGAAGCTAAGATGACCAAACTGAGGCTGTCGTACTTTGGACACTTAATGAGAAGAGAAGACTCACTGGAAAAGACAATAATGCTGCGAAAGGTGGAGGGAAGTAGGAAGAGAGGAAGGCCACATGCCAGATGGATGGACTCTATTATGGAGGTCATGGGTATGAAGGGGTTGGAGGAATTAAGTAGAGCAGTGGAGGACAGAGAGTCTTCCTGGAGATGTCCATCCATAGGGTCACCATGAGTTGAGATCAACTCAAAGGCAGTTAACAACAATTAATTTAATTACATTATATAACAACAACAACAACAGTAATAGTAATAATATGCAATGCATTTATTTGGGACCAACCACACTGCTATATGTGGTCAGGTCCTACATTTCTTTTTCTTGGGATGCCCTCCCTTTTCTGGTGCTTTGTCCTCCTTTAGGACAGTTAGGACAACTGGTCCCCCTCTCCTTCCTTTTGTTTCCCTCCCAGGAATTGGGTTTTTTTTAAAAAAAAGAAAATCCCTCTGTAGATAAACCCTCTTGAAAGAGAAGAGAAACAAACCCTCCTTCTTCCCTTCCATGGCGCGCAAGGGAAGCCTGAGGGCGCGCGTCCCTCGCCTGAGCGCCTCCTTCCCTCCTTGGAGAAAGGGAAGGAGAAGCAGCAGAAGAGAGGGAGGAAAGGAGGGAGAGAGTCAGGAAAGAAAAGAAAAGAAAAACCCAGCCAGGGAAGAGAAAGGGCTCCCTCCTCCTCCTCCTGCTGCTGCTGTTGCTGGTGGGCTTCTTCTCTCTTTTCCCTCAGGAGCCAGGATTAGTAACAGCCCCCAAAAGCTGCCTCAGAGTTCAGCTTACAGGAGCTGGGAGTGCCTCCAGAGAGGAGGAGGAGGAAGAAGGACTCCCTCAGTTTTTCTCTCAGCCTTTCTTTCTCTCTTTCCCTTCCTCCTCTCATCTCTCTTTTCCCTCTAACCTGCTGCTGGAGAAACCCACCAAGGCTACTCTTTCCTCCTCTTTTCTTCCACTGTCCTTCTCTTTCTCCTTTCTTCTGTTCCCTTCCTTCTTTCTTTTATCCCTCTCCCTTTCCCGACATGGAGTTTTCCTGGAGTTTCATCCTTCTGTCCTGGTTTTACCTGGAAGCTTCAGGGGACTTTGATGGGAGGTAAGCAAAGATTTTGGCCAGATTATTATTATTATTATTATTATTATTATTAATCATCATCATCATCATCATCATCCATATCCCTAGCACTAGAAACTCTGGCAATCCTAACAGAGAAAGAGAAGCAGTTAACTAGTGAAGAAAGGTTTTCACCCCAAGCACCTCAGCTGAATAAATACAAAAAGACTTCCTTACAACAAGAGGACTTTGCATTCTTGGTTTGTTCCCCAAGAATACCCGAGGATATTTCCCATTTTCCAGGTATATATATATATATATCCCAGAAGAGAAAAGGGAAAACTAAAACTCCCAAAGCCAGCCTTGGTGGTGGTGGTGGTGTTGAGAGGGAAAATGGGAGAAAATTTTTACAGATCCCAGAACAGGGAAGATTTTCATGTTGCTTTTGACAACATTTGCCTGAGGG